TCAAAAACATGGAATTATTTTGTCTCCAAAAAAGATTGAACTAGAAAAAAAATCAATTGAATTTTTGAGAATAATTTTAGGCGAGAAAGGTTTAAAATTACAGGAACATATTTTGTCCAAAGTACGAGATTTTCCTAATACTCTTGAAAATATAACACAAATACAGAGTTTATTAGGCATTTTAAATTATAGATGAAATTTTATCAAAAATCTTTCAAAAATCGAAATTCCTTGGTTAACCAAATTAAGGAAAAATGTTATTTTTGAATGGACAACAAATGATGTTGCTTTAATTAAATAAATTAAAGAAAATGTTAAAACTTTACCAGATGTTTATCTTCCTAAAACATGTGATAAATTAATTTTAGAAACAGATGCCTCAAAAGCATGCTGGGGATGTATTCTTAAAGAAATACCAAGTAATTTATGGCGTGATAAAGAGATACCTTTATCAGAAAATGGGATTAGACCAAGAAAAAATTCAATATCCATAAAATTACAAAAAGAAGAATTAATTTGTGCATATAATTCTGGAACATTTAAACTAATGAACAGAAATATATTATTTTTGAAAAAGAATTACTTGCAATAAAATTGGCAATAAAAAGTTTTCATATTTATTTAGCCCCAAAAAATTTTATTGTACGCATTGATAATAAAGCAGTAAGAGATTTCTTGATCAATAAAAAACCTATTGAACAAGGAAGAAGATTAGCCTGGTATAATAAAATTTCTGAATATACTTTTGAAATAGAACATCTTAAAGGTACTAACAATTTTCTTGCAGATTTTTTTAGTAAGAATTGTTTCAAAAAATTAAATTACTAAACAAGTAATTTTAATTTTTGCAGAAGACCTCTAGACCAAGAGGAAACAATGGATAAGGGTAAACAACCCGCTCAAGGAGATTGGGTGACAATTGCTAAAAAAACAATCCTCAGACAAGAAAGGGTTTATGTTGTATTCGTAGGAAAACAACCTGGAATTTACACAGATTGGAATGAATGCAATAAGCAAGTTTGTGGATTTCTAGGAGCCAATCATAAATCATATGATAGCATGGCCAAAGTTAAAAAAGCTTTTTACAGTGCACCAGCTATGCCTGTTTATCAAAAGAATTTTTTTCAAATGAGAACTAACCCAGTTCTAACTAATATTCAGACATCTAGACCAGATGAATCTAAAATAAAAGATTTTTTTCAACCCTGGTATATCCAGAGAAATTTATACAGAACTCAATGGAGTTTGGAAAACTCACATTGTAGACAACAAAGTGAAATTTCAAAAACACATGGGAGTTCTGGCCAACAAATTAGCTGAGCAAACAACTAAATTAAAAGATTTGCAAAATATTTGTTTCAATAGCTTTAAAGAAATGAATTGGAATGAAGATTTTAAATATGAAAAAATAAATAATTTTCTTCAACTATCAGACCTCATATCAGATGAGTTTTCTGATCCAGTTTTTGAACAAATAAAAAGAATTTGTCTTTTTGAAAAAGCAAGAACTTTGCTTCGAAAAGAAATTTTTATGTTAATCAAAAATCGAGTTGAGGATCATTGTGATAAGATTACACAAATCTTAGAACGATCTTATGATAAATTAAATTTTAAAGATGGAATTCCCAAAATAACCATCATGGCAAATCATGACATGTGGTATTTTGAAGATATAGATTGGGGAATAATTAACCAAGTTATTTTCCAAATTTTAGATTAAATCCAATGGATAGAATATCCAATGTTCATCAAAACAATGCTCTCATGGGTAGTACAAGGCTTCTGATGGAGCAAATATTTTACTTTATGAATCTCCAACACTGTTGGTTGGCAGAAATGAGAAATTTTTTTCCAACCATACCAGATTTGGTATCTTAAAGAAACTGAAGATTTTGAATTTGAAGATGATTATTTAGATGAAGATTGTCAGAGAGAGAGATTGGAAAATATTCAAAAAATTTCTTTGACAGAATATTAGATAGACAGTCTAATATCTGTTTCACAAGCAGCGTCCAATATCCATGACTCAGCAAAATTGTCATTCATGGTCACCGATGGTAGAATACTATTTGTAACCCATTTTCCTATAACATATCAAAGGTCTCCTACACAAATTAATGAGGCTCTTGACTTGTTATTAAATCTCAAAAGGAGAAATAATTTAGATCTTCTGTTGGAACTAGCCATGACCGCGGATGATTTAGAACATTTTCGGAATGAGCAATACAGCCAGGATCCGGATTCCCCTCAATCAGAAACTAATGAAGAATATCACAATCTCATCAACAGGATGGAAGCATAGTGGACCCCAGTATCACATGTAACTGTCTCTTGATCGACTCCAACCTTATCCAGGACACGTGGAGCAACTTGCATTATTAGGCAGAAAGTAGTCAGACAAATTCTTTCAGCCAACGCTACAAGACAGAAACGATCAGCCCAATCTTATCTGTTTCAGTTTATTCTTTTGAAAACAAGGAAGGGTAGACAGTGTATATAATTGTAAAAACTATAGCACGCAACAAATAATTGTAGCTTTTCCTTTAGCCATTTTTGTCTCTTTGTATTTATTTTTATGTAGACATTTTATAATGCCTATGACTAGGCTTGACTAGGGTGTTAGAATTTTTATGACTAGGCTTGACTAGGGTGTTAGAATTTTTTTGCAAATCTTGGCCGTAAACTCTTACCAAGTTAGGCATTAAGTTTTGGTTTTGTTTGTATCCATCATCTTTTATTCTATATATTGGCTTTTAAACCAACAAAATAGACAATGTAAATTCTCTCTATCTTTGTGTTTTCAATTTCGTCTCTAACTTCTCTTAACTCCATAACTCTATTATAATTCTATAATAAAAATACATTACTTCAAAAACATATAAAGATCACACTTTTTTTGTGTGATGTATGTTATTTAATCACACTTTTTAAGTTTTATTAAAGTGTGATCTTTGGGAGTGTGATTAAAAGGGATCATTTTTAATCACACCTTTTAAGTGTGATTAATAACATTTATATCATACCTTTTAAGTGTAATTAAAAATACTTAGATCACACTTTTTAAGTGTGATTAATAGTATTTAGATTACACCTTTTAAGTGTGGTTAAAAATATTTAGATCACACCTTTTAAGTGTGATTAATAACATTTAGATGTGAAAAAAAAAATATTACACTCACTAGCTTCTCATTTGCTCTTGTGAAGATTCAAACAATCAACCCTCTCAGACCATAAACCTTATACAAATGAATGCAATAAGCAAGTTTGTACACCTCTATAACATCATATGATTATATATGCAACATATATTATTTATATAGTACATAGACCCGTATTAATATAAAAGTATACATATATATAAAGATAATTATTTTTTATTGAACATAATTTATGTAAAACTAAATTATTTACTAGAAAAAAAGAGACCACTTTTGGCGACTAAATACAATTTTAGTTGCCAATTCTATACTTTTGGCTACTAATTATTTTTTAGTCGTTAAAAAATTTAATTCTCAGGCTAAAATTATTACTTTTGGCGACTAAACTTTTTTTTAGTCGCCAAAAAGCCTCACTTTCCAATGCCTCAGTTTTGGCTACTAAATTTTTTTTAGTCGCCAAAAAATTCTAACTTTTGGCTACTAAAATTTTTTTAGTCGGTAAAAGCCTCACTTTTGGCGACCAAACATCTTTTTAGTCACCCAATACCTCACTTTTGGCTACTAATTTTTCTTTACTCGCCAAAAAGCCTTACTTTTGGCTACTAAAATTTTTTTAGTCGGTAAAAGCCATATATGGGCAACCAAATAGATTTTTAGTCGCCAAAACCTATACTTTTGGCTACTAAATTTTTTTAGTCGCCAAAAATCTTTACTTTTGACTACTAATGCTTTTTTAGTCGCCAAAACCTATACTTTCAGCGACCAAATGTGCTTTTTTAGTCCCCAAAGATGCTTTTTCTTGTAATGGAGTGTGATTAAATATATATATATAATTACACTTATTTAAAAAAGTGTGATTAAAAAGTAGTAATGTATATATAATCACACTTTAATTAGAAGATGTGATTAAAAAATATATAAATAATCATATTTTAATTAGAATGTGTGATTAAAAAAATATATATAATCACACTTATTTAAAAAGTGTGATTAAAAAGTAGTAATGTACATATAATCATACTTTAATTAGAAGGTGTGATTAAAAAATATATAAATAATCACACTTTAATTAGAATGTGTGATTAAAAAATATATACCTAATCACACTTATTTAAAAAGTGTGATTACAAAGTAGTAGTGTATATATAATCACACTTTAATTAGAATGTGTGATTAAAAAAAAATATATATAATCACACTTCATTGAAAAGTGACATAAAAAATGAATATCATCACGCTCAATCAAATTAAGTGTGATTAAAATATCAATCTAATTTTTTTTATCACACTTCCAATAAAAGTGAGATATTTTTTTTTGTCAAAGTGTGATCTTTAACTATTTTTGTAGTAGTGATAGTAGAAAGCTCAACCTAATTAAAATTGGGTTTTCATGGGTTGGACATTAAAACACATTTAAGCTCGTCTAAATAGGCACGAGTTCTATCATAAATTCTAAATTTTTTTAAATAATTTTTAAAAAAAAAATTAAATAAAAAATAACAAATCTTTTATATAAAAAAAAGTAAAAAAAGAAAAAAAAAGAAAAGAAAAAAAGAAGGTGAAGTAAATGGGTTGATTGGGTTCATTTATCCAGTATGTATCTAACTCAACACCATTTGTTTAAGCCCATTTATTAAATGGGTGGATTTGGATTAAATTGTTTTAAATGTATAACCCATCTCTAATATTTTTCTTAGTAAAATTGTTATAATTTATAATTTAAAAATAAAATTACTTTATTTGAAGGATGTATACGTCATATGAAGGATGTGTACAGTAAAATAAAATTACGTTATTTGGTGAGATTGAAATGAAACTATAAGAATAAGACACAGTTGTGGAATACCAACAAACAAAAACCTTAGGAAAACTAATCATTAACCAGACCACCATGTCTCGTGAAACCAACCTCCTCATGAGTTCTTTTATTCTTCTTCTCCAATTTTGCACAGCCAGAGACACCATAACCACAATCCAATCTCTCAAGGATGGTCAATTGTTAGTCTCCGGCAACAAGGCCTTCGCACTTGGGTTCTTCAGCCCCGGCAAGTCCACCAACCGGTATCTCGGAATATGGTACAACAATGTTTCAGAACAAACTGTGGTGTGGGTTGCAAACAGAGATAGGCCAATCAATGACACATCCGGAGTTCTCTCCTTGGACAACACCGGAAACCTCGTCATTCACGGCCCGGACAAGAAAATCCCGGTCTGGTCGACCAACGTGTCGGCCTCGGGGAATGTCTTTTCAGCTCAATTGTTGGATTCAGGGAATTTGGTAGCCTTTCAAGGTGATGGCAAGGGGGCAGTCGTGTGGCAGAGTTTTGATTATCCTACAGACACCCTGCTTCCTTTAATGAAACTTGGGGTGGACCGGAGAACCGGTCTGAGCTGGTTTCTGACATCTTGGAAGTCGCGTGATGATCCGGGAATCGGAGAGTACTCGTTCAAAATGGACCTTATTGGGTATCCGGAGTTTTTTTTGTATAAGGGTTTGGTCCGGTTATGGAGAACCGGACCGTGGAATGGGGTTAGATGGAGTGGGGTACCAACTATGACACCCAAGTTCATCTTCAATGTCCATTACGTCGACAATCAAAATGAGGTTTCCATGTCATACCTCATCAACGACACCTCGATTTTCTCAAGAATGGTTGTGAATGAATCGGGGACAATAGATAGGCTGACGTGGCATACGGACCACCAACAATGGATCGGGTTCTGGTCGGTCCCCAGGGATGAATGCGACTACTACAGTCATTGTGGGGCAAATGGCAACTGTGACTCATCCGTGAATGCTGGTGAGTTCGAGTGCATGTGTTTACCAGGGTTCGAGCCCAAGTTGGCACGTGACTGGTACTTAAGGGACGGGTCAAGTGGGTGTAAAAGAAAACGTAGAGGAGGCACGTGTCAAAATCAAGAGGGTTTCATCAAAATGATACGTGCTAAGTTACCAGACACTTCGACAGCACTTGTCAATAAAACTATTGGATTAAAAGAATGTGAAACAGAGTGCTTGAAGAACTGTTCATGCCAAGGGTATAGCAGTGCAGAGATCTCACTGGGGGGAATTGAGAGTGGATGTGTGACGTGGCATGGGGACTTGATGGACACAAGAGAGTTTTCGAGTGGGGGCCAAGATTTATACGTACGTGTTGATGCTGTCGAATTAGGTAAGCATTCAATGTCTTGTTGATAGTTTTGTGTTTGTGGCTGGATCTTAATTTTGCCTTATAGTTGAAAGCACCTGTGAATTTTGCTGTAAGTTTTCCTTCATATCCGTCTCTTCGTATCATTAATTTATATAGTTTTTTTGGATTTTAATTCAACGCACACTGTTAACACTATAAAAAATTAAGATTTTAGACATCAAAATTTAATGATGAAATTATTTTTTAGGAACCAAATATTTTGGTTGCGAAAAATATCGTTATTTTATTTTTAGCAACAAAAATTAGATATTAGTGATGAATTATTTTCTTTTTGGGATCAAATTTTTTGTCTCAAAAAATAAACTATTTTGAGACCAAATTATTTTGTCTCTACAAGTCTATTTATTAGTGACATTTTCAAATTTTTGTCCCTAAAAGTCTTGTTTTGAACTTTTCGGGACGACCTTTTAGCGACTATCTTCATGATAATAGAAATTGATTCCTAAATGTCTTTTACAACAAAATTTTCACTTTTAGAAACTAAATCATCTGTTGGTCTCTAAAACTCTTATTTATTGTAGTGTGATTTGAATTATTTATTTCGTAGATCTCGTAATAAAAATTATCTATATAAACTATTAGTTTTATCAGACAACTATAAATATAAGAACAAATTACATTTTGTTTTATAAAATGAATGGTTTAAGTTAACAATCATATTTGTTATTTATTTTATAAAATAAAATATGATTTATTCTTGTGTTTATAAATATCCGATAAAACTATTTCTTTTTTCTTACATAGATGCCTTTTTTTTTTTTTTTTGAACAGTAAAAGAAAAAACTTTATTGATGAAAAAATATAGATGACTTTTATTGCAAGAAGTGTATGAGATAGATGGCTCAGATAATTGGTATAAGTCCGAATTAAAGTCCAATATATATATATATATATATATATAAATGGAGACATGAAAATATGAAGGATAACTTATCCTGATTTTTTTGAAACAATAATTTTGAACTTAAAAAATCATGTTGAAAAACTCTTGCTTAATTTATCTAGAATGAATGATTAAAGACAAACTCACGCAACACAACTACAAAACAAGATCCGAAAACAGGTATGTGTCTACATGATAAGTTCTACTTAAACCATTTGCTACATGTATCCATGGTAGTAACATGTATATTTTTAAAACAATAATACAAAGCTCAAGAAAATTACTCAAAAAATTGATCAGATTTATTTTAGATGTAATTCATATGATACTTTAAGTTTAAACTTTTCTCACAATTTCATTTTGAAATAACTTTACAAATTTTTGAATCCTTTAGAACATCCAAAATGGAGTGGTTAAAAATATATACTAAAATATTACAAAAGGTAATAAAAATAAGGTCCAACAATATATTTTAAGAGTTTGTTAATTTAGAAACTCAGTGATGCTATAATAAATGTGTTAAATTGCATGTGCTAAGTGATATATATATATGCACATATTATATACAAAAAAAAAAAGGGGTAAATAACACTCACCTCCGTTGATGTTTGAAAAAAATATAGTTAGTCCTATACTTTTGATATTATTACATTGGTCTCCTTTAAAGTTTTAATTCAGGTACCTATTAGATCATATTTCATTAGTAATTTATTAGTTGTATAAATGAAGAAAAAAAAAATATTGTCACATCTTTTATACTAAAATGTATATTTGTCATTTAGACAAATATACATTTTAGTATAAAAGATGTCACAATATTTTTTTCATTCATACAATTAACAAATTATTAATAAAATATGACCTAATAAAAACTTTAAAGGAGACCAATGTAATAATATCAAAAGTATAGGACCAACTATATTTTTTTTAAACATCAACGGAGGTGAGTGTAATTTACCCTCTTTTTTTTTTTTGTATATAATATGTGCATATATATATATCACTTAGCAGTGCACATCTTGAAGCTGTTGTGCTTTGATATTGACAATCGTGGTGCAATTCATTTGGATAGACCTCTTTTTCTTCATTATCAACATTAGTTGCACTTTTCCACTCAGATTAGATTGGCTTCTCAGAGGCAACAACCCTAAGCTTACTTCATTTGCAAATTGTGAATTGCTCGCTAGGCTAGTCGGTGCAATAAGGTCCACAGTAACATTGAACTTCTTGGTTGTTTTCAGACCAGCTTTCGACTCAGGAATACCAGCACTCCCAAATAGTGTTTCTCCGTAGTAGAAATCAATAGTGGTGTTGTGGAATTTATAGGGGCCGAAATTGGGATTCTTGACCCCAATTTCTGCATACATCTTCATGTTAAATGAAGGGCTTGTGACATTAATGGTCTCGAACGTTGCAGACATAACCCTGAACTTGGGAGTTTTGACTTTCATTATGGTTAAACCAAACACTATTCCCATAACGATTTGTGACACTGTGAAGATAATAAAAAATGTCAAACGCTTGCGTTTCTTGAGGCGAAGCTCTTCAGCCTCTGATGTGATTGCCTCTTCATCGCTTCGGGCAAAACCGTTGGCTGGTGCCAATGGATATTCTGCTTTCTGCTCCGCTGCCATAAAATTGTTTGATTGAGAAAGAGATAGAGAGAGGATTTTGGCTGGTTCAGTAAGAGTGTTCAAGGGAATGATGGGTGAGTTGTGTTGTGGCTGTGGAGTTTGAGTATGTATAGTATTGAAATGCTTGTGACCGATTGAAGAAAAGTGACATAAAGGATATATTATTGAACACATTGTTGGACTGCTTGTTAACTAAATAAAAAAAGGGCTAAAATGTTTGAAATTCTCTATTCATCTGCTGAAGGTTTGAAATTCTCTAAAGTGGAATAGAATTATTCAGGTTTGGGGATGTTTTGGTATTTGGTGCTTGACATTTGAAAAAGTACACTCTCATATACTTGTTTAGACTTTAGAGCTTCAAAAAAACAAACACATGGATTGATTTTAGGTAATAAACTAGCACTTAAGGGAAGCCTGAGAGCATCCACAATGGACACACTAAGTTGTGTGTTAGTGTCAGGTG